CGCCGGCCCCTCCGGAGAGAGCGAGGAGCCGGCCCCGCTCCGCCACCCCCGTCACGGTTCACGGCCCGCCCCGCACAGCGGCACCGGGGAAAACGGAGAAGCGGCGGACAGATGGAGCGCTCGGGGAGCACACTCACCCACAGTTCTAACGCGAGTGGAGGAGACCTGAACCTTTGTACAGTTTTTCCTCAGTGCTGGATTAGTGGTTTCGTGTGCTGACTGCTGCACAACTACGCTGCAGCTTACACAGCGCAGAGACAGGCAACACCAAACACGAAGTTCTCTCTAAAAGCAAAGAGTGTGTTCGCTGTAGTTATGCGTACTTAAGTTAGCAGCCTCTCCGCATTAGCCGAGCAGTGGCTGCTGGTACGCTGACAGTTCAAGTTAAAGGGAAAAGAATGCTCCCTAAAGGGGCAAAGATAAAGAGGTACCAAGCTTGAGAAAGCATTTGTTCTAGAGAGAACCTGATTACCTGGGACACATACGATACAGTTCAAAGGTACTTTGGAGCAATTAATTCCTCTCTTCTTAGAGGAAGGCCTATCTGGGAGTCCCCACAAGACAGACAAGCTGCAAACAGTCCAGCTGACAAGAGAAGCCTGGAGACCACAGGACATGCAGGAAGCTTTTAACAACAGTTGTAGCATTATCCTTCCTGAAAGTGGATTATCGATTGCTGGACGCTTTTAAGATTTGGCTGGACATGGTGCTGGGCCATCTAGCCTCTGTTATGCTTTGCTAAAAAAAGTTAGACTAGATGATCCAAACTGGTGTTCTATGATTCTGTGAAGGTAGTTTGGCAGTTTTAGGTTACAGCAGCCAAATTTTCCAGGGCTTAAGAGATCTTTTCTTTTTTTTTTTTTTTTAGAATATTTTAGACAAGTGTTTTATATTAGAGCTTGATAGAGTTATGCTTTATCATTCAATATACTTGGAAAGAAAACTAATGCATTTAATCTGTATCCTATCACTTGCTAACATGGAACCAAATATATTGCTTCTGCAACGCCAACAGAATTACATCCTAGAAATCAACACTGAATGCAAAGAGCAGGGCAACAAAAAAAAAAAAAAGGAAACAAAACCAAGCGTGATGGGTTTAAGGACAGTAACACTCAAGGAACTTAACTTTTTGTAAAGGTTCAAGTCTCAGGAAGAGATTGCTGAATTTCCTTATAGGATTACAGCATCTTTAAAAGCCTGCATTATATTCTGGAATTGCAGCAGTTTGAAGTTTAAAAATACCAAGGCACAAAATTCTCCAGGATCACATATTCCTGTCATGACCGACTGATTTCAGTAGCTATGGTAGAAATTCAAGTTCACACCTCAGCCTATCCCTCTGCCCAAATCGATGTGCTTTCAGATTAAAATAAAGCCTCTGTAACACCTACTGAGATTATCCAAGTTCAAGCAAGGTGAAATACAATTTCACCATATGTTTTGCCATACTCCACTCTGGAAAGCTATTTTAGTCTGGCTTGAAGCAAGATGCCAACACAATTAAGGAATACTAACTAGCACTAAACACCCACTAGTGTAACAATTTCCCCCACATCCACAAATGGCACTGGCAACTTTAATATTAGATTTTCTTAAAGGAAAAACTCAATGTAAAAAAGCAATGCTTGTTTCACTCTGCTCGAGCTTGACTCAAGTGAGTCTAGGAGACTTGTGACTGGAGACAAAGAGGCCTGGAAAGTATTGGGGGAAAAATAAAAATCTTAAACCAAACCTAGACAATGGAGCCAGTGTGTGCAACTCAAATAACTGGAAGACTAATGGCACCAACACAAACCTCATTTTGAAACACAGCCTACTGATGACAACAAGAGGCTAACTGAGGGATTACTGTTACCATAATACAGGAAGGCAAGTTTATTCCATGGTACTAGGGTATCTTTGAGAAGGAAGAAAAATACCAGACCTCCTACTCCAGGAATTAATGAGTTTGACATATATTCCCGAATTGAAGCATCTGCATTATGTTTAACACCATAAAAGATATTTGTCACTGGGAAAGCCAGAAGTTCAATACATAGCATTCACACACCCACTAAGCACATGGTCTGAAAAATAAATTCAGAATATTGCTCAACACTTCAGTTACCCAGTTAAGAGGGGAAAAAAAAAAAAAAAAAAAAAAAAAAAAAAAAAAAAAAAAAAAAAAAAAAAAAAAAAAAAAAAAAAAAAAAAAAAAAAAAAAAAAAAAAAAAAAAAAAAAAAAAAAAAAAAAAAAAAAAAAAAAAAAAAAAAAAAAAAAAAAAAAAAAAAAAAAAAAAAAAAAAAAAAAAAAAAAAAAAGAACAGAGATGAATTTTCTCAATATTTTAACCTTCAGATAAGCAACCACATTATAGAATCCAAGCATTCAGTTTGAACATTACAAGCAGTAGTTTGTAGGCAAAATCTTTGCCTCTTCCAAACACTTATACTAAGATATGCTTTTGTGGAGGAACTTTACTACTCTAGAAGCATGAATTTTCATCACATTCAGTACGCAAAAGGACAGCTTACCAGCTTACCAACAATATGAAGTTCTATGGGTTTGTGCATGTACTTCTGTAAGAGGTAAGTAGGGAACTATCAAAATACACTAAGCTATTCAACCCTTCATAAACCCGCACAGCACAATACATACCCCTTCTTGCTTTGTAAATAGGCTGAGACAGTCAGCCAGGGCCTCACATGTTTTCTGGGATACTTCAGAGACCACATCAACTTTTTGCAAGATGGGAGAAGATATTCCTGAAAGCATGAAAGATTAGTAGTGTTAAGGAGGCACTGAAACTATAGGACTTTTAGTCACTTTTTTTTCTTTTAAGTAATACACATATAGCATTCATATTCTACAGGAAGGCTGGTGCACTGCAAGACCTGTGTGAGGAAAGGGCAAGCAAAAGCAGCACTGAGAGAATGCAAGTTCTTTCTTTTGCATCCTTTCACTCGTACTGGCATAAATGGCATATTAATGGATTGAGTTTCTCTTTCAGCATGGCTTAAAAAACAGAGGTAGTAAGCTATGTCAGCAAGATACTGCAAAAGTGACTAGCAGCAATCTCCTTTAACCACTTTCTAGATTTAAAAGGCTCAGAGTTTCCAGGTGACAACTCAAATACAAAGTATGCACTAGTTTAATATAAGTTAAACTAAGAAATGTAGTGTTTTTTTGGGTTTGTTTTTTTTTTTTTTTTACTTATACCATAGTACTATAGAGAAGAGAAAAAGCTTACCACAGTGCAGCTGAAGATTTAGGTTTGAAAAAATAGATAAGGAGTTACAAGGACACTGATCAATAAAAGAAAGATAAGGAGATCTTATTTTCGTGGACTCATCTTCTGGGTAAGTAGTACAGCCAGCAGGGCAATGCTACCTCACATCCTGACTTCCATGACTATTTATAGGTGGGTCTACATGTCTGGAACAAGCAGGAAATCATGGTAACCCAAACAACTGGTAAAAATTCATCTTCAAAATTTTGTGATGAGAAGCTTGACATGAGCCGGCTTCAGTGTGCACTCACAGCCCAGAAACTAACTGTATCCTGGGCTGCATCAAAAGCAGCGTGACCAGCAGGTCAAAGGAGGTGATCCTGCCCCTCTACTCTGCTTTCGTGAGACCTCACTTGGAGTATTGTGTACAGTTCTGGTGTCCTCAACATTAAAAGGATATGGAGCTGTTGGAGCAAGTCCAGACATCCTGGACTTACTCATTATATCCCACCAACAAGGATGACAAGGGGGCAGAAGCACCTCCCTTATGAAGACAGGCTGAGAAAGTTGGGGCTGTTCAGCCTGGAGAAGAGAAGGCTGCGTGGAGACCTCATAACAGCCTTCCAGTATCTGAAGGGGGCCTATAAGGATGCTGGGGAGGGACTCTTCATTAGGGACTGTAGTGGTAGGACAGGGGGTAATGGCTTCAAACTGAAACAGGGGAAGTTTAGGTTAGATATAAGGAAGAAGTTCTTCACAGTGAGGGTGGTGAGGCACTGGAATGGGTTGCCCAAGGAAGCTGAGAATGCTCCAACCCTGGAGGTGTTCAAGGCCAGGTTGGACAGAGCCTTGGGTGACATAGTTTAGTGTGAGGTGTCCCTGCTCATGGCAGGGGGGTTGGAACTAGGTGATCTTAAGGTCCTTTCCAACCCAAACCATTCTATGATTCTACGAATTCCTCAGAAGTCAAGCAAGCCATTCTCTCAGGAAGCATACTTGTTGCTATTAGAACTGGTGTTCATTTAATGGCTGCAGACACCAGGATCACTTGACACCATTTAGTAACCCAACTGCTTCAAGTTGATGTCATACCAAGAAAGATTAAAAGGTCTGTCAGTGACAGTTCTTGAATTTTGTAATTTGTACCGCTTGTACATGACAAGATACAGTACATATCCACAGATTGTTGTCTTTGATACTAAAGCTGACTACTACACTGGAATTTGGAGTCTACTTACAGCAGCTATCAAGAACATCTAGAAAGCGCCAGCACACTGAGTTCAGAAGCAGGATAAATATTTATGATATATAAGATGCATGTATTTCAAAAATACATTAGAATAGCATGGTGAAACATTTAGGGAGGGAAATGTAAGCATCAGGTGCCAATATTTTTATGTTACTCAAAAACTTTTAGGAGAAGTTCCACATAGAAAGACTTGCGTTCTTTGGAGCCAGGGGACTCAAATGCTGCAAAGATACCACATCAGCCCAGTGTGAGAACTGGGAGAGTTGTAGCAGTTTTTCCTGTTATGGCTTAGAAGTTACACATGAGCCTGGAAACACTTGACTGCCTCATCAAATTAAATATTCATTGGGAGGAAAACAGGAACCTACTACTGCTATCAGTTGAGACTAGCAGTTTCTGGGAAAGACAGAATATCTGTGTTTGCTTTGCTGTAGGTTTTGGTTACTCAAGTTGTATATTAGTAAAAAAAAAAAAAAAAAAAAAAAACCAAACAAACAAACAAAAAAAACCAAACAAAAAAAACCCAAAGAGAAGTGAATGCCCTTACTGGTTCTTCAGGTCAGCCATATGGGCTTGGAGAAACTGCTCTTACATCTACTAAAGGGAACTTATCCCCTCATGCTAATTTTCAAACTGTTTTTTTTGTGAAGAATTTAGTTTCACTGTATTATTAAGGCTTCCCAATAATCTATTGTGAAACCTTATTTTCTTTGTGAAATAAAAATACAGTAAAAATTCAGCTAGTGCAAGACAGGTCAATGTCACGAAGTAGCTTACTCCAGTAGCATATGGGGAAAAAATGCTGTATTTTAGGCTCCTTTTAAGAAAGCACAGGGATTGAGAAGGAAGAACATTTCTCCTCCCAAAACAGCTATTCTAGTACAGACTACAGATTTGTACAAATAAACAACTTACTCTCTAGTTTAAGCTTCATAAATTTCAGTCACAATATGTAACTAAGACTCAGGCTGAAAGGAGCAACAGTTAGATGTTCTTACAGAACTCCTTCGTGTGTTTAATATATGTGAGCAGCTTCTGTACATGTTTAAGGTATTAAATGAAACATTCTAGTCTCAGAAGCTTGATACCTGTGCTTTTGGTTTTGGCAGTTACATTTGATGGAGAAATCCAGGTACGTTAATTTAAGAATTATTATTTAAAATGAAGCCCAAGTAGTTCAAATCTGGCATGAAACTCATGGCAGAAATCTGTGCCATATACCCCGTCACACCATGCCTCCAATTCCCTGAACATGCCACTCTATCATGCCTTTATCATGTCTCAGATTTCATTGTGTTTCTACTCACTACAAGACAAGATTTTTGAGGGGAAAGCTAGACCAAGACAGCTAGCAAGTTGTATCTCTCGGGACACTTACACTCTGCAGTAAGCTGCTAACTACAGATGTTTCAAAAACTTGAAAGTGAACCCCACCATTACATTCCTATGATACTACTCAGTAAGCACTGTATCTCCAGGCACTTCCACTACATTTACAACCACTAATAAAATTTCTTTCAAAGCACTTCTTAGTTGTTTCTCTGAAATCTTAGCTCTTAGCAATTACTATAATGTTACTTTATTGGAATCTTTTTTAATGATGAAAACACTGTATATTTTCAAGCTCCCAAAAATTGAATTTCAATGAAATTAAAGCATATGCTGCTTAAAAGAGAAAATTAGTTGCCTGGTAGCAAATTGCATTTTACAAGAGTAAGTTTTACCTTTTGTAGCATCCAAAGTGTTTACCATTGCAAGGAAGTCTGAAATCTCTTTACTCAGTCTTTGCTGGCAAGCTTGTGCTTTCTGAAAAACAGCAAGGATAGCTAGTTCAGAAGTGCCTTGTTCTAAGAACTCTCTGAAGTTTTTGAACTTTGGAGAGCATTAGATCTTAAAGACTGATAGTGACAGATACATTAAAACTAAAAGAAATTGCTTGAAGTACCTTTAAAGACACACAAGCAAACAGAAGTTTGATGCGCATTATATTGCTGACTGGCTTCTCTATAAATTAGCATAGCAAACCAAACCCCAAATCTATGTTGTATGTACCTCTTTTGCATTTCCACCCCTTTTTTATTAAGAAGTTTGAAAACCCAGGAAAAACCTTTGCTTGTTCTTTGACAAACCTAAAGCCAAAATAAGCAAATGCATAGGTTAACTGGTGCGTGGCAAGTACAGCAACTTGCAAGAATCCAGCCCAAGATCATATTCCAAGCCAGTGTTTGAATCTGAAGAGAGTTATCTGTTAGATAATACAACCTTCTTCTGTAGGCTGCTGAGAACTGCCAGCACCAGGTATGTTCTCATGTCTATTCTGCCATGGGCTACTTTGAGTTCTTGTACCACAAGGTATATAGCACAACCTGTTTGGAGTTCAACCACAGGAGGATTTTTTCATTACAGTGTCAACTTTCCCTTAAAGTAAAAAGTTTCAGAAGTTTATGTATGGCAAAAAGAATCAGAGGCTGAATACCAGAATTATCAAGGAAGACTCACTTCCATTGTAGGTCTGAACAATCACTGTACAACACATCTAATGTGACCTGAGGTGTTAAAAAGGTCATTTCTAAGCCATTTCATTGACAGTTTTGTAGAGGTAGAGCTCACTAAAGGTTAGCTTTGTTATCCTCCAGTCTCTGTGTCGCCAAGTGCAGTACACAAGGCTCCCTCTCCTGGCTGAAAAGCCAAGCAACTTTCTGCCTTGCAGTAGGGCTAGTAAAACTGAAAACCATAGCCTTGTAGCTATGATAAACATGTCATTTTCTGCATACAGTCTGAAGCAAGCAGTGCAAATACAAATGGCATTTACGCACCCACGGGATGAAAGAATCATTACTTTTAGCCAAAAGCACACTGAAGTATTTCGAAACAGGACTAATCTGCAGCCACCTAGATGCATGAGCCAAATTCAGTACATACTTTCAGAGTATCCTGTAGGTATGTAACAGGTACTGCATCATCTTCATCATCACTACTCAACTGTTCCTGTGTGCAGTAGTGTGTGCTATATGCAGAGTGGTCTTCTATTGCTTCCAGCCAACTCTGAGAGGAAAAAAAGAAAAGGAAAAAACAAACCACAGAATTCATACACATCCCCATACACGCAAAAGAACAAATTAAAGTTTTTTATTGATGTGACATTCATTAGTAAATTGAGACACCTTAATAAGCAGAAAATAGATTGTTTAAAATTGACTACAGACTACCTCATCTTTAATATTCTAAGAGTGCTACAGACTTAACTGATTAAAGTTCAAACACAAATGTAACCGACCCCTCAGTCTAACCAAGGTCACAAAAAGAGTCACATCAGTTAAGACTTTAGGGAATGTATTCTGCATCTTTGGGTTTCTGTTCAGACAGCAAGGTCCCTGTGACAAAGTCTGCTGCCTTATGCATGACAAACTGCACACAAAACCTCAAGCACTATCAAAATTAAGAGGCAGATTCTTTTCCTGTTCATCAAATCACAGAATAGCCAAGGTTGGCAGGGACCTCTGGAGGTGATCTGGTCTAACCCCTCCGCTCAAGCAGGGTCAGCTAGAGCTGGTTGCTCAGGACCATGTCCCAATGGCTTTTGAATTTCTCCAAGGATGGAGGCTCCACAACCTTCCTGGGCAACATGTGCCAGTGCTCACTCACCCTCACATTTTTGATTATGTCCAGAGGGAACCTCTGTATTTCACTGTGTGCCAATTGCCTCCAGTCCTGTCACCAGGCAGCACTGAAGAGAGCCTGGCTCCATTCCTCTTTCCACCCTCACTTCAAGTATTTACATACATTGACAAGATTCCCTGACCCTTCCCTTCTCCAGGCAGTCCCAGCTCTCTCAGCCTTTCTCAGTATTGGAGGTCCTCTGGCCCCTTTAATCATCTTAGTTGCCTTTTGTTGGGCTCTTTTCAGTACGTTCATATCTCTCATGGTGGGGAGCCCAGAACTGGACACAGTAGTCCAGCTGCCTGCACCCTTACTTCATCTCTAGTTAGTACACCTACAGAAGTACATTAGTAACTATAGTACAAACAGCACTTAAAAAAAGTTATTCTCTTGTTTCAGACCTGCCTTTTAAGAAAATACATTATTGAGCCATCTGGGAGAATAGCTAAGAGTAGAATGTACCATTAAGCATTCTTTTGTTTGGGATAACAAACTGTGAAAGTTCAACGGAAGTTGCAATAGGAATTTACCACATGGAGAAGTTAAAAAGAGGAAGTTAAATTACAGGGCATAATACAGGCACGGAGCTGGAAAACAAGGTGACACTAATTTTAAAGAGAATGACAATCTGTCCATTTTGCAATTTAGTCTATAGTCAAGTTATAAGATTTGATATCTACACTTATGTTACTAAGTCTTGATGATCAAGATACTGAACCCACTACTAATGCATCCACAGCAAGTAGTATGCAGATTATTCATTACAGGAGTTACTACATTTTAGCCTTTAATAAGGAGTCTCTTACCTCTCTAGTTTGAGAAGGAAGGCTATTTTTAGGAATCTTGAAACGGTGAACAGTGTCATCAAAACATCTAACAGAAAAGAAATAACTGTCTGTTGATTTTACCTAAAGCAGTAAGAACACACAAAATTAGTAAAATGAATCAGTAAGAAAAGAAAAAATTTAAGACTAAGCAAGAGAATTCCTACTGACTCAGAAGTTTTTGCCTCAGTTTTGATGAAAAGCAACTATAATTTACAAAAAGATTTGGTCAGAAGTTCTACAAAACATGCTGTCTTGCACTTCACATCATGAATGATAATATAGAGGGGATTTATGTCTAAATCTCTGCAATGGCATAAGATCACCAATACTATGGTATTTGTAGATATAGAAAAGCAAGAGACACTTTTCAAATAGTAAGAGCATAACTATAGTTTAGCAGAACCCATGGTGCCGATCTGTAGAACTAGGACAGGTTAGTTACAGGAAAAAAAAAGTATCGAAATGATCCTAAATGCATTTTCCTTAAACACTTCATTTTTCTGTGTATTATAAATGATACCTGACCTGTTTTTTTCTGTTTACCCCTTCCAAAAGGGATTCACACAGGCATAACAGAATTTAAGGAAGTTTTCCCGTAAGTCAGCTTCAGAACTGATCAGTTCTCCATCTGAGATGAGCTGAAGTTACACGGTCGGTCACAACTCACCATTGACAGCTACAGGAGGAACTAGACCTTTGCTATACTGTATCACATGCTCCAAACAGTTGTTTTGCACAACTGAAGAGGCATCCTGTTAGGAAGCCTTATGTATGTTTGAATCTTCAAGACTTTGGAAAGAAGTGTAGGAGATTTAAGATTTACGGCTGATTTCCATGTAAGAATGATTTGCTTGACAAGAACCAGCACTTCCTGCAACAGCATGGGCTTTTTTCCCTTTTTTACAACAAAAGCATGCTTACCAACCTACCTAAAGTTTTCACTATGCGTATGGACCACCATCACATAAACACCTCCCCCCACAACAGTAGTTACAAGTAATTTCAGTTTCTACCGTGCAGACAGCTTGTGTTAGATGCTTGCATCCCTGACGATGATCATTATTCACTGCATCAGCTCTTTGAAAGAAAAAAAAAAAAAAAAAAAAAAAGAGATTTAGTAAAGTGAAGATGGGAATTATTTAAATCTCTTTTCAGAAATTGAAACACAGAACTTACTGTCTCCGATACCAGGACAGGACTCCATGTTCTAGAACTATCCAATAGAGTTTCCAACCAAAAAATCGTGAGCTCTAAAAAATAAAAAATAAAAAATTAAGGTAAGGTTAACACAGATGAAGAGTTACTATTCCCAGTAAGGTGGATAGCTTGAAGGCTGTTACATAAAACTGGCAGCCGTTAGGAAGACATTTTGGTTTACCCATCTCGGTGATCACAGCAACCTGAGACTATACAGTGGTATTTTGTTTTTTGGAAACACCCAAAGACAAAAGTTTTATTGAGTCTGCTATTTAGTACAAACTGAAATGCTGCATTAATATAGGGATTGATGATCACCACACAATTCTACTCTATAAAATCAAATGAGAAAGAAAACACAGAGATATCTACTATAACATATTACCTTTCACAAGCTCCAGTACATAGTTCTGGTTTAAAACCAGTTCCTTATATTATGATTGTGAGTGAATACATAGCAAAATTTACACTGAAGTGAACTTCGAAGATTTCATTAAGGAATATAAAAAAAATAAACACTCATCTAATGGACTGAGAATTTTTATTTCTTATTTTAAAAAGAAGGGAAAAATACTCACTTGAACATATCAGAGCAAAACAAGTTTTAAACAACCATTTGACTGACATCTATCCTCAAGGCTTTAAAATTTCTTGAAGGATTTGAACTTGTGGCAAAATATTATTCATACATTATTGAAGACATCCATTCAGGAAAGGAATTAAAAAAAAATGAAAAAAGAAAAAGCAAACACACAAAAGCCACCATTTTGCCTGCCATGCAAACAAGAAACAAAACCTTACCACAGTAAAGCTTTGCCATAAAAATTACTAAGAAATGAAGACAGTTTTTAGGGACTGAGGTCAAGATTAGAGTGCCACAAATCTAGGAACTGATCCACCCAGCCAGCCCATCTACAGTTTATCCACTATACTAAAGTCATTTAACAAATGTATTATTGAGAAGTTCCCTCATATGGTAATTCTCACTAAGTACAGAAAAAGGACATACTGATATACTTTGTGGTCCTTACAAGCTGTTTTAGAAAAGCAAATAGGACATACCTTCCATAGGAGACCTTCGTATCGTCTCAAGGGTTTGTTGACAAGCTGCATAGAAATTAAAGCTCATGTATGAATAGCTTCAACTAGACACCTTGGCATTTTAAATGGATACAAAAGTTCCTACCTTTCCAGTTTTACCTCCCAGTATCAGTTTCATTTCTCCACCTTGGGCTAGATCAAGGGGCGTCTGATCTGTTTAGTAACCAAGATGAAGCATGAGAATTTGATGCAAATGAACCTAGATGTACTTAAAAATATTCTGACACTGTGTTTATCCATCAAAGTTTGGTCCCACAAGCTTCTCTGTTTACTTGGAATTGTGGAATATAAGCTCCTCAAGGGTAGAAGACTAAAAAGGCTCTAAATTTTAGTGCACTGAACCATCCTGCAGAGTTCTACTAGCCACAAAGAGGCCTTTGCTCTTATTTTTGTTTTTAGCTCTTCAGCTATATAAAACAGAAATTTCACAGATATCAAGATAGAGGCATCTTTAATCAGATGACAAGTACACAGTTTGCACATCTGCATAAAGTTTTCCTGATTTGCTTTCATGAGAAACCTTCTTCTTAATAGCCACTTCGTCTAGGCCACATCCTCAATCTTACCACTCTTCTAGTTGTTACCTGTGTTCAGTGTTTAGCATCAAGAAAACAAAAGCCAGGCACGTTTTATAATTAAGACGGACAGCAGGTAAATTTTTCAGAAACAAGCAAGTTTGAAAAATAAACTCATACGTAAGTATTTTGCTACAGTTCTTTAATGTCCTGCAATTTAGTCAATATTGGGCTTCCTTTATTAGTCATCCAAAGCTTGTACAGCACCGCAAGATTTTCCCTGAACGCTGAGCGGTAAATAACTTAGCATATAGAAGCTGTTGAATTTCTGTCTCCTCTTAATACCTTATGTACTTTCATTTGGTACTCACCATTTTTGTTTCTTATTTTGGGATCTGCTCCATTTTTTAGAAGTTTCAATGCACAGTGCTTATGGGCACGGTAGGCTGCACAGTGCAATGGTGTGTTCCCCATCTGATCTGTACAGTTGATATAAGGTGGTTTGGGCCTGTTCAACTGGAAAAAAAACGAAGTTGTGCTTACTTATCAGTTGTGATCCCTTGCCAGATGCCACGTGCATTCTTTTCAAAGTTAGCTAACTAGGATGCTTCAGTGTAGATCTGGCAATGAAGACAGCATGTAGCAAGCGTTCTGAGAAGGGCAAGGGCTACAACAGTCAAGATGTTCAGCTAGAGTAACACACTTCAGGTTTTTTGCTTGCTGTATCCCTTCCACCTCTACCACACAACATGGAAACATTTATCCTGCTCAATTGCGTAGTGCCAGATAGAGTTGCACAGCATTGCAGTTCAGTCACTTACATTGCTAGAATGGCCCTGTTAGATTCTACTATCAAAATCTACTGTTCCTTGTAGAAGACTCCTGGGCACAGTCTAAGAGTTAGCACAGGCCAGTGCTAAATCCAGAACAAGTCTGTACAGCCACCCTGTTTCAGAGAGTAAAAACTTTGTACAGAAGGGTGGCAGACATGACAGTCTCAGTGACTGAGCTATCCTAAGACATTTAGGAGCTCTTAGTTACACAATTACAGTTTAGCTGCATTCTGAAGTCTAACTACTGTGTGAACTTTAAATAGCCACTCTAATGTCACAGATTAAGAAAAAAAAACAACCAAACAAACAAAAAAACCAACACAAAAAAAAAAAAAAACCAAAACAAAACCAAAACCCCCTGAGTTCTACTTGAACGTAATGGTTTGAGAAATTGACACCATCGAAGAGAAGGGTCATTAAGCGTAAAAATACCATCCTAAAATACCACTGCACTCCTCAAATACATAGCTATTGGATATGCACATCATGGTTGGACTAGATGATCTTTAAAGGTACCTTCCTCCCCAAACTGGTCTACACAATAATCAGCCATTACAGTTAAAGCAGTCTTAGGAGACTAGAGTCACAAATGCATGACAACAGTTTTAGAGAAACTCAGTTGAAGCCTCTTGCATTAGCCAAATGCTATCTTAGAGAAAAAACTCCATAACAGGATTCCCACAGCAGCAATTTAAGTTAGCATCAACAGTAACCACCTTCAATGTGCTTCAGAAGTAGTCCTGTTACTTACAGTTCAACTGAAAAATGAACACAACTCCAAAAGAAACAGCTTGTAGAACTACAACCTCATTAACACTGAGGTCAAATACTTGAGATCTGAGGGTGTCTATTTTACCTCTTAACAACCAGCTAGTTTACATCTGCCTTTTCTCTGCCTCCTGAACTCTTGCCTCCACACCTTTTAAGCCTGAGCTTCCAGCAGCAAACACCTTGTTACAAGGCAGTATTTTGAAGAAAGTTTCATGCATCAACTAATTGAGATAAAAAGCTCTCCAAGTCATTTCACTAAGTGTATGGTATGTTTGAGAAGTCACAGGAAGAACACAGAGGTTTTGCCTCAAGTAGACTAAAAAGCGCGGGTTAAGATTCAGCTACTGAAGGTCTAGCTTTTAGTAGCAAAACATACTGTGATCTAGTGAGAATCTTGTCAAAGAGAAACACAAAGCCACCACTACCATTTGACTTTAATAAACTTCAACAGAAGGAAAAGTTATAAAGTTATACATCTTCCACAGATGTATTAACCTAAGGGTAGGAAAGTCAAGGAGGTTTATACCATAGAGCTATAAGTAGAGAAAGTTCTTTGGACTTCCTCAAGAGTCATCATGAGTTTTAAAATTGTAATTCAATGGGCAGAGGTCCAAACATTCACCAAATGATTCCAAGACACATCCGTTATGTCTTGACCTAAACAACTGCATGAGGGTCGAACATGTGGTAAGTACTTTGAAAAGTTTTACAGGTGAACATATAGTTATCCTCTCATATACAGACCCCAATGATACTAAATAGTTTAAAAAAAATTGTTTAGAAATGAAAATGTTTACAGGAAGAGTTACATGTGCATGCATGGTTACATGGCACATAAGAGAAAGCACAGTTCTTTAAATGACAAATTTCTATGGGGAGCCATCTTTTTCTACATCAGTTTAAAGCTTAGTCAGCAGGCATGCAACAAGCCTTAAAAATTACCAGAATCAAGAACAGATCACTTATGCCAGTGTATGAATTACAAATAGTACAATCATGACAGTGTATTAAAGCACCATTCTTCCACATCTTGAGTACTGTGTACAGCTCTGGTTCCCTCTCCATTTCAAAGAGGATAGTACAAAAAGTACAAACAAAAATTACAAAGATGACCAAAGACTTAAAAAAAAGTTTTCATGCAAGCACGAGTTAGGACAAGGCCTCTTCTGACCAGAAGACAGAAATTTAGAGGTTGGAAATAGATTTTGAATAGGTGTTCATTGTGGCTTCTAGGCAGATGAGAATGTCAAATCTCTCAATATACAAAAGTCTTGGGCTTGTGAATTTTCAATTAGAAGTACATAGATGTATTCAGACTGCTCTGCTGCCTTAGAAGTCATTATTAAAGGTGCTAACTAGGTAGAAAGTGTTACATACTGCATGTCTTACTTCCAATAAACTCTTCAGGACTCTCAAAAGCTTTAGTTCAAGCATTGAGATCCTGGATATGTCAAAAATATAAACCCAACTGGATATAGTCCTGGGTAGCCTGCTCTATTTTATTCTGCTCTGTGAACAGGAGTTGGACTAGCTAAGTCTCAAGAGACACCTTCCAGTTTCAATTCTTCTGTGTTTTGCTTCTTCAATAGGCTCATGCCATGGTATTGCTCAGCTTGAGTTACTATGACTGCATGCACAGACAGTTCTCAATTCCTGCTCAGCATGAAACTGTGCTATGCAGATGACTATCCATTAAAAAGTAGACTTCAGCTCCAACAGGTAACAACAAAAGCTACTTTCAAGATTTAAAATACACTACATTGTGGTGAAAACCTAGGCACTCATGACTAAATTAAAGTATCCACAAAAAATAAGCGTAAGCCAGTAGATCTAGAACCATTACACTGCTAGTTACAACTAACAGAGTATTTAGAAACATGAAAGAAGCTGAAAAAGCATTATTCTGCAGCTTCCAACAAGGAGGCTGAAAAACCCTTGAGTGTTCAGCACCTTACCAAGGTAATAAGGTGCACAGCACTAATACTTTGAAGTCACAGCACTTTGAAATGCAAGGCCTAATGCCAAATGTTGTTACATTAGCATTCTGGTTTGAACCACTAGCCATAAAATTATTACAGGAACTTGAATTCTTACCAAGGCAGTCAGTTTCCCTGTTTCCCCCTCTCTTGCTGCTCCTAAGAGTTCTTCTTCCAGTTTCCTTTCTTGTGTTCTTTCCACTGCTATATATAGAAAAAAAAAAAATAATAAAAAAGCCACCCAAATTTAAGGTCAGTCTCAATAAAGCAGCAAGTACATACAAAGTACAGTGGTACAGTGCTCAAGAAACTATATCAAAACAAGCCTAGAAAAGCACAAGTTTCCAGTACTATTTATTTGGCAGGTATAAATGGAATATTTATTCACAGAAGTCTGTGTCAGAGCAAAAATGTGTAATATTTGAAAAGATGCATGAGTGTATAATCACCTGTACATACGTATGTTGTTATTTTTTAAACACAACCCAGCCCCACTGCCTAGTAAAAGGGAAAAACAGTGAAACTATAGGACACTCCCATCAGATCTTCCTTCTGTTCTTTTCAGTTTTTCTTCTACTCTTCCTATCATCCTACAGAAATTTTAGTCTTCTCTAATAATCCAGCAGATGAGCAACACAAAGGAGTTACCTGTGCACTTGCACATAGAATCAGAAGAGAGATCACTTTTCACATATATGTACTGGACATGGAGTTTCAGCAGCGTTTAGGGGTATCACATAACCCCAGGAAGCAACACAGCTCTTGAACTCTCCAGAACTACAAGCAGTGAGCCTATGTAAGTATTTGGACTCCATCTACCTCACCTTCAACACCTGTGAGGCAATGGAGGAAACAAAAGGGGTTTTTACTTTTTTTTCCTCCTTTTGACGTAATTTCTGACACTGCAAGTTCCAAATCTGACTCAAAACTGGGTCACCTTTGCAAACTGCTCAGAAGTTTGCTTGTTAATTATTTCATTAACACAAAGGCACTTAGTTCTCTTGACTTGAGCTCCTCCTCTAACAGTGGGCTAAGGCTTTGACTGCCATGTACCATTCAGAGCTATAGCAAGGATTACCCCAGCAGGACTGAAATAGTTACTTGAATAACGCTACTGGCATTTACAGCACTTAATTCTCCAAGTTGCTTGCAGGCATTAACTATGACTTCTCTTTAAATTTGGTCACTAGGAAAAGAAAAAAATTCAACTGAACTTCTACAGCTTGCAGGAGAAAAAAAAAATTAAAAAAAATCAGCTTTTAGAATGTACAAGTGTTGAAAAAACAAAACAAAATGAAACAGGCTATGGCCTGTTAAAGTTACCTTCCAGCATATTCCTTATGTCTTTATCTTGAGTGACTTCTTTTGCAGTCTCTCCACTCCCATTAATGATAGAAGTATCAGCATTATGCTGCAAGAGTAACATCACCACCTCCTGGAAAACAGTTTGAAAAACACTGCTTATCTCTCTCTGCTACAGCAAGGCCACAATTGAGCTTTGCAGCTATTAACATCCTGTGAGATGAGCTGTGTAACGGCTTCTCACCACTGATGACTTACAAAAACAGGAAGGGATGTTTTAGAGAGATTGGAGAGCAGGACCAACTGCAACCTCCCCTTCTCACATCAGTCAAGCTGAAAGAACTAAAAGATCTGTTTTAGCTGAACAGACCTGATCAGATTTAAAAGCTGGTATACCTGATGTGAATGCTGAATTTGACAGATAAAAACAGAAAGAATCGATGAGAGACTATATAGTCACTCCTTCTGAAGGGCCAAGAGGTTATCCATAGGGGCAGTACTACTTCGGGCATGATGGTGGCTTGTGGGAAACAATCAAACTAGTCTCACATTACGGGCCTATAAAAAACTCTTTAGTTCTAGTTTTCTATGAAGAAACAGCACTTCCAGACACCAAATGGACCAATGTGTCCTAATTTATATTTTTTTCCACTCCAAAAGCCACTAAGATTAAAACAATGTGGTTACTCTCTAAGTAAATATGCAGTTAGTTGGGAGGAGCAATGCCTCATCCTTTTACTGTGCCAAACATACCAGGCACAAACATGAATTAATCTGTTGTACTTCAATAGTAGATCAGAGATCTTTACACTGGTTTCCACACAGGAATTAGAACCTGCAGCTAAAGGTAGCGCTATGCTTCATCATTGTCTGACACACAGAAGAAGTAGAACAGAAGCAACATAAGTTATGAACTAACACACAGTTATGAACTAACACACAGTTATGAACTAACACACAGTTATGAACTAACACACAGTTATGAACTAACACACAGTTATGAACTAACACACAGTTATGAACTAACACACGGTGCTACAGGTGAAGACAACTATTGTTTCTTTTCTCATCTGACAGCAAAATCTTTACAACAGAAAGCTAAAAAAGGACATTAACGTATACCAAGGGAAGCCATGGACCAGTGTTCTCCATATTTGTACCATGGTTTTGTTTTGGATAGTTGTGACAGCTAGTCAATGTGCCTAGTCCTTTTGAATGCACTGTACCAAACCAGGCAAGTCATTTTTAGACGCTGTAAAAACATCTTTCTGAAGTGATCTTATTGCTCGTATTTCCCTAATTCTACTATTAAAGCTTAAAAAAAGTGAACACACTTTACCTTACGTCCAGTGAAAGCTGCACGATGGAGAGGAGTGTCCCCCATGTCATTCAGCACATTCACATCTGCACCAGCCTAAACAGCAAGACCCAAAGACATCTGAATGTCCTTCCAGCAAGAACTATATAGCTATTCCCTCTGACTGGGGGAAGGGGGAAGACAGGACACTAATGTAGGCCTCATGGCAAATTAGATCAGAACTGTAATACAGCCATCCTGGAAGCAAAGATAAACTACATAAAATTTATAACCAGCATTTTATAAACTGCTTCAAAAGGAAATTCCTCCTGCATGTTTTCCAGGCATTTCACTTTTAAGAGGGTATATGGAAAATAAGTTTAACACAGGGAGTAGGGGGGTTGTTCATTTGTTTTGGGGGTAGGAGTGTAGGTGTTGGCAAAAAACTCCAAACAACTTAATGAAAGAACTGCAGTGCTACTGTACAACACACATACATGTATTATTACAGATGCACAGAGTAGTACCAGCCTCCTGGTGCTCCTGATTTAACAAGTGGTGTTCCCTCCAGGAACCTATTGCTATTCTTTCACTTCAAGTGAAACTTTCTCACTTTTCTATAATCTTTGGCTTGAATGCCCCTTCCTCTTGTCTCACAATTTCTCCATCCCACACCTCTTATCTGAAAGGAAGACTGCTTGCCACACGGCGCAGGCACTGTTCCAGGAAACCAGGAAATCCTATCCTTTCCTTAAGGATTTCTTCTACACTGCTTTACTTAATCTCAAAAGGTCAGAAAGAGGGCAGAACCTACTTAACTTTATCACATATGTTTAAAATCATGTAATTTACCCAGGTCATTGCTGCCTGCCTAAAGTTAACTGATGAACCTGACTAGTTCCAGAGTTCTGTTTCTGGTCATTCCTCATTCACTTGCTTTTATGAGTGCATACTTAAGATACTATACATCTTTAATTCCTACAATCAGATGGTTATACAAACACACATACTCATGAGAAAGTTAGCTAAGTACTGATAATTGTAAAAACTGTTCAGAGTAACAGCTGTATACCACTGTATAGACTTCCAATGTCACAATTTTGGGACCTTGTAAACTGGGCTGACTCACACTGCAACTATTTCATTCCTTAGTTTTAATAATCATTTATCCCTATGTTACATGCAGATGAACTGTAGGAGTGACTCTGCCTCTCTAAAAAGCCGCCTTTCTCATATCACAAAAACTGAATAAATACTGCTTCTAGAACAAAGAATTTTCTACCTTCACACAGAAGCAAGTAGAAATATACCTTCAGCAAATCCTCTACTACAACAGCATGTCCAAAGTAGCAAGCAAGGTGAAGCGGTGTCCAGCCCATATTGGATTTACTTTTGCCTAAAAGACAAAACAGGTAAATTAAGTTTTGCTCACAATACAAGAAAGATCTTGTCATGTGCTTGGAGGTTGGCATGGATGATCATTCTCCATAGTAACAGAGGAACAAGGAGGCTGGAAGCATCAATACTATTCATATCATCTGAATTAGTACACTGGAATGCAGTCTGACAGCGTTAGGTTAAAACCTACAAAATCTTTCTGAAAGGACAAAGTCATGTAGTCTAATGGAGAATTAAACTTTTTTCCATGTAATATTTTGTTCTTCACCAGCAGCATTAAGTTTCATTCGCTATGAAAGTAGCACACACAAGTACACATTTATCTTGTGTATATATAAAAAAAGTTTACCTGATTTTATTTCCTGCACACAAATAAGAAGTAGGACAAGCCATCTGCCCAACAGAGGATTCAAAACAAAATAGGAGGGATGACCTAATGTTAGGAGGGTTTTGTTATCTTGTGCTTGTACTTGTTTTTATTAAAGATAACCTTACTAAGTATGATGATTTGAAAGCTCTGTGCAGCGTAGAACTCATGTACCACCTACAGCTCTAAGCCTCTGCGGGAATGATAAGTACAGGCAAGAAGTAGGTACAGAAGTGACCTTGCAAGGAAAGCTATTATTTATGCTTTAAAGAGCATTTAAAACATGCTGTGGAGGACTGGCTGTATAAATGAAATTCACAAACCATGCTACAATCACTTCTTGAAAAGTAAGATTAGAGACTACTACTTTAACAACTGATGTTACTTTCCAGTCATTAACTCTATTAAGCGAAGCTGATTTGTGCTTTGTTTTTACTAAGTAACAGACCCACAGCATTCCAAGTGCCACCTAAGAGCTATCAGTTTGTATTTGGAAGCAAAGTGAAAGTGAGGAATTGGAAATTATTTTGAAATTACTGCCACCATTAAGTTTTTCTCTTTTGTGTATCCTCAAGCACTGAGGCTTGGAACACTACATAAGTTTACCCAGAGGAGACAAGCCATTAGCACAAAGAAAAAAAAGAGAACTGCTGGTCTTGCAAGTTCATAATTCTTTCTTTTGTTGTATTACAAATTAACACTAGAATGTGGTTCACAGCTGAAATATTTTCCCATTTCTTGTAACTGTTTCCAGCTAAACATTTCTGCCCTTTGTTGGCTATTTCTTTTGTTATTTGATTCTCTTTCTTAACTCCTTCTGTTGTTTCAACCCCAGACTTAGTATTTTCCCTCATCCCAGTCTGGCCTGTAACAGGGTTCCTGCTCTATGTGACTGAGGAGCTAAACTACCACAGAAGATAAATACTGTGTGGATCACGAACTCTGAGGCTATTTATGCTGGGTAACATACTAAATGGACATCATTCATCCCTCAGTCAAGCAGGGAAGAGGGTTTTTTCAGAGAACACAGAAAAAGTCCAAGCTGCACTGAATACATACAGTTAGCCCAAGAAAGTCATGAGTTACAGGACTGACAAAACAGTGCTGCCGTCAAGGATTTTGGTCATGGGGGGTAGGGGGGAGGAAAAACACAACACCCAAAAAACCCCATCAGGAACCTGTCCAGATCTGTAGTTCTCTGTGAATAAAATGCCAGAGGCCCTTGTTCTGCATCCACTCTGAATGTCTGCATTTCTGATGTTAGCTAAGCAGTTACTTCTCAAGCTCTTGAGGTGTTTGTTACTTCTTAAAGTGACCACAAGTGTTTGTTATTTTTTTTTTGGGGTAGTTAGAGCCAGTAATGAAAAAATACGTAACATTGGTGTTGAGCTCAATAGGTGAACTTACATTTGTCCTCTTATTTCATATAAAAAAAACTACTTGCCTGTAGATATTAACAAATAATAAAAAAACCCTGCAACCTGCTGAGGTTTTTGGTGTGGGTTTTTTTTTTTTTTTTAATTATTACTATTTTAAACCAGGACAGCATTACCCTGGGGAAGGTGCAAGGATAGGAAGGTAGAATAAATCAGAATTTAGAAAGCAGGTATTTCGCTGTGTACCGATTCCACATTCAGAATTATTTTGTTTAACCTGAACTATCACCAGCAAATTTGCCCTAGCTTCCTAGACCTCCTATTGACAAGCATGTTTTACCTAGCTGGCCATGTAGTGCTAAACTGGAAGGATAACAGCTAAACTCCATCTTTTCCTTCATTAGGCAAGTCTCTTTCTTGCTGCACACTTGCACAATACTAACATTTGACTTTGATCAGGAATGCTGATCAGAGACCACTTTGCTTGATATAATACAGGACTGCAGATTACATCATTTCATTATGCTTTCTTCACTTCAGATTATGTATAGGAACACATCTGAAGCTCTGAAATCTCTTCCACTAACAAGAGATTTCAGCAACTTATTTATGGGTACTGTTGCATGAACCTAAAAAGTACTTTTATTCCAACTGTTTAGGCACTACACACAGTGTCATGAATATTTGCAAATGACATACTTGTAAGGGTGGAGAACTTCAGCTCTATCAAGTTCTGTCTGGTTCCTCTTTAAATTATGAGCTAGCTCCCTGAAGATGAAGTAGCAAGGGTTTGCATTTTACAACTTGTTTTTCTGAGGTGATTAGATTAACTATTGGGAAAACACAAACAGGGCTGAGTAGTCAAACAAAAGGATGAGTAAATTAATGATTAAGAATGAAGACTTGGGAAAGGGATAGAGCTTGTTCAGGTAACAAGCTTCCCTGCTCCTTAGAGCAAGGCATTCCCTCTGTCACAGCTGAGAGGAAGCAGAGTTGCTCTCTCCCCTCTCAGCACTCTTTTTTTCCCAGTGCTGCTTAACAGTTAAACAATGACAAAGAAACACCAGTCTGTGCAGAAAGAGTGGGATACACATCCATTTTTGAGAAGCAACCAGAAACACACTCATGTAAATAAAAGGAAATACGATGCTACCAAATGAATACAAAAATAAGGCAATCTGCAACTGATAGCAACCTTGCAAATCCAGTCCCAATTTGAAGTTCTAATACTCAGCAAGAAAGTTGCTTAGCCATAGCTATGTTAGCTATGCATGTCCAAAACTGTAGTGTTGGCCAAAGACCAAGACACAGGCAGCTAGCAGTTTTACTTTCTTTTCCCAAGTAACCAACCTAGTGTACCTGCTGATGGCAAAAACCACACACTGAATGCCCCATCACTGCAAGTGTTCAGGGCCAGGCTGGACAGAGCTGTAAGCAACCTGATGTAGTGGAAGGTGTCCCTGCATATGGCAGGGAGGCTGGAACTAGATGATCTTTAAGGTCCCTTCCGACCCGAACCATTCTATGATTTGTCCCAATCATTCCTGCAAGTAGCAAAAAATGTAGATGCTGCTACTATATAATGAAACAGGGACCTTTAAAACATAAATATATAGTACAGTACAAATGACCTTATCTCTGCAGCCCTGACAGAGGCTGATTATCTCCCTGAACAATCCCCTGGCACCATAATCTGTTTTGTTCAGCATTATAAAGCTCCAAAGTTGACATAAGCGTGAACACAGGCAGAAAGAGATACTGATTCTTTGGCATGTTGACACTTCTGCAAATTACTCCAAGGCTTTCTGTGCATTACAACTGTGTGTGCTTTGCTTTTATGTTCTCTCCCCTACGCAAGTATGGCCTTAAGTCCCGGGGTAGAAGCAGTTGTTTAAGTGGGTTTTATTACTCTATTGGGCACTCCAAAGAAAGCAAGATAATGCTGTCAGTAAGTTTCACTACATGTGGCTTCAACAGTAAGATTACAGACATTTGAGGAAGGCTACTAACCTTTACAGTTGATATCAAAACTTATTTCTCCTTTGTCCATGGTATCCAACAGCTGTTTAACTTCTTCAGCATTTCCATTTCTAGCATCATGGAGAAGCTGCTGTTCTGCTTCCGTACTCATCTCTAATAAAGATATGAAAGAACCAATTTTGCAATTTCATATGCTGCTGTAAGTTACAGCTTACTATTATGTCACTTTTCTCTCTTATTTAATACTAACACTGTTATGAGAAAGATGATCATTTCCTCTCTGGAACACATTCAATGTACAAGCTGTTTTCAACAGTCCAGACTCAGTCATGCCAGTAAGAGGCATTAAAATTCCTCATACAAAGCAATTAAATAACAAAACACCCATGTTTTCTTGCTTTGCAGTTTTCTCACTTCTAAGTGTGGCTTGGCAGTTGGAACTGTATGCCACAAACAAAGCAAGCTTTACTACAAGCATAACCATTTTGCATTTACTTTTTCCTTGTAAGGTTTTCACCTTTACCCCTTAAGATTTCCAGAGGCAATGAGGAAAAAACATTATGTATACCTTTTAGCCCAAGTATTTCTTCAGACTTATCTGAGTCTCATTTTGGCTGCCACCCTTGGGGAACAGAATATGTTCACAAGGAGGCCCCAGATACCCATCAGTGACTAGTACTATCAGATCTTGCACTCAGGTACCTGACCCTCTCCAGCCTTGACTTGAAGGGGAGTCAGATACTCAAAACAACTTTGTAGATTTGATCTTATCTTTAAGAAACAACAGTAGAATATAAAGAAGTTAACGTGTAACTGTAACACATCACTAGCCAATTCTTATCTAGCTATTACTCTTGACCTACGAAAAAAAGGAGTATTTACATCTTTCAAAGAATGGAGAAAACAAAACCTGTTATCACAGCTATTTTTACAACTTTCTACTAGACAGGGAGCCTTAGACCTTTGGGCAAATGTCACTGCTACTTACCAGGACTCCTGCAGAATACAGTTACAATATGATGTCCTAACCAGTCTTTTCCCACACTGACAGAATCACAATCTGACTTCATTTTGCACACACACGCCCCCTTTTTTTTTAAAATGTTATTACAATTAGGACCCAGAAGCAGCTCAACGCAGGCAAAAATAAATTTTAATGTCCTATTTAAATACACTGCTTTTAAGAGGTGCCAAGAAGCAATTTTAAGAGCAGCCTCAAAAATACTGTACTGCAATCCACAATTTATTGCTGCTAAAAACAACCGTAAAAGCAGAAGTTGGCCATATTTAGTGTCTGCAGTTTGGCATCTTCACCCGACACTGGGTTTACCAGATCCGGCAGAATCTGGATTTCTACAGTCAGTTAATGATTACAAAGAACATTAGAGGCCTCACACAGATAGCTTTCCTATACTACAAGAGGTTTTGATTAGTCTCACAAACTGTTTACACTCTGCTGCATTGAACAGGTAGCTTGACCTCACCATACACACTCATAGCTACAACTGATTCAGAGAGCTCTTTAACCACTTTGAACAAGAAGCCACTCAGCAAGAGACAAGACAGCAAGAACACTGGGTAAGCAACAAAAATACTGTAGCAGTGCCAGATCTTGTAATACCCAAGACTGAGACAGAAGGCAAGAACAGGGCAGGCTACCAAAGAAGTTTTCCTCTACCTTTTGCTCAATCAGGAAAGGGAGAGAGGGAATCTGTTTTCAAAGAATTTGACACAGACACTAACCAAGTCCTTTCTAGCGTGTTTCAGAAGAAAAGACTGGATCAATCACCTGCAATTTACCACAGACACAGGATACAAATGCCTTTTCCAGAAGCAGACACACAATACTCTTGTTTACACCTGCTTTTCAGTTCTACTACAAAACCAAAACAGTTCTAGTTCTTGTAGCAGTCCTCCAAGCCCTGAAGCTACCGTCTCCTTTAAACAAGAGTCAATCCACTTGTCCAAGGTAATACAGCACGATTTGTTGTTACTGGGGCAGGTATAGTTTTCCTCAGTGAATCAGTTCTACCAGTGTCTAAAAGATCAAAATCAAATGTGTTCATCAGTATGTAATACATTCTCTGAAACTAAGTTATAGTCTTTCAGGGGAAACACACAATGCATGACTAAGAATTATACAGACAAAAGCTAAGAGGATAGTTAGAGCTCTTTTTGCTGATCTACCCATCAGGGATGGAGAGGAGCAGGAAGTAAAGCTCAATCTTTTACATTATTTCTTTAGCAACCTTTCAAAAGTCTCAGATGAAAAAAACCTCCTATCATTACCCCATATCATTTGCCAACATACCACATACGCAGCAGGTATGAATTGCAATGCACCTTTGACATGTTAAAACCCTTCGGTTTCCATCTAATATTGATGAGAAGGAAGAAAAGACTGCTTGGGAAGGGGACCAAGAAGCTGATCCAAATGCACAACTCTTGTATGTAGCAAGGCCAGTTATGTGCACGAGCAGAATCTTAAATAGCTCAAGATACAGAAAGCTGAATCACTGTACAATTACTTGCAGGATTTTTCTCTCCAGAAATAGTCCTTAGGTTAAAATCACCGATTTATTTGTACTCTTAAAGCAAATATTTTCAGTAGTGGCATGCATAGTAACATGGTAAAGAAAGACCTCTCTGCTTCACTGGTTTAGTCCCCAGAGACTTTGCTGTTTGAGCCAAGCCTCCGATTTCAAACAGACTTTGTAAGCTTGGAAGCATGGCAGCAATGCAGAAGAATGACTGACTGACTATTAATCATAGTTAGAAGGACCATTCACATGAAAATGTTTCGACAATTTGGGCTGGAAAGCAAATCTGCGTGCAGTTACTCATCAGACAAGTGATACAGAACAAAGTTTTAGCTAATAAGCTAAATGAAGTGCCTAAATGAAGCTGGCAGCAAAGAGGCTCTTAACAGAGTTTAGCATAATCTTGAAAATACTGCTTTAAGCAACAAAATTTACTCCATAATGGAGATGAGCAACCACCAGCAGAAGTTTGAGAGGCAATTTTAAGAGCATGGTAAGAAATCCATACACAGGCATTCAAACACTATGCACTTACAACTGTACTTCACACACTGCACTTTCCTGGAGACAGGACTTTATTTGGTCATGCTACTACCAAGAGAGCTCCAAAATCGCCACCCACCAGTTTTGAGGTACCAAACCAGACCATCAGCACTGAGAGAGAAGCTTAGTTTGAATTTATTAGCCATAAGATACTACTCGTAGGTTAGCCTATGAGTTGTGCAAAGCTACTAGCCACTTAAAGAGAGCAGACATCTGTTCAGCCAGTAGTGTTGCCATCACTACCTTATTCCATTAAACAACTGATAAAGATAAAACTGCCTTTCACAGCTCAGTTTTATGCCTTGTATGGTAGTCTCTACAGTCACTGCTATGCCACGAGAAAACACTAGGACAGTATTTAACGTCTCCTGTACAGCCAAGATGTGACTGCAGAGTACTTCCGCTGAACTCATTAAGACTATCGGAGCAGTACTTGACGGCTAATTGACTTTTATCCTTTAAGAAGGTATAAAAAACCAGCATTGAGATGCTCTGCTTTTATCATCTACAAGACCTATTCCAGAGTGATCTTCTCATGTTATTATAGCATCTGTCTTCACTCGGGGGTTGTTTCCAACACAGAGTGGAGAGCCCAGGTTACCATTCTGTCTGCATGCGTGCTTAAGGCAGGTCTGCAGAATACTAAACTACAGAAGGCTACCTAACTACTGCCATATAAACTACCAACTTCATCCAACTGCTAGGGAAAAGCCCAAGCAAAGCCAGCTGCTTTTCTCACAGTGTACAAAGACCTAAAGCACCACCCTTGGCCACGGGGCAGCACTACTAAGACCCATGTGCTTTTGCTTTTATTTCTTCTGCTGAGGCCTGCCATGTACACAGACCAGAACAGCAACAACACATACTATGCGGTACACAGCTGGTTTTCACTCTGCTGCAGCTTGACAAACAGCAGAAGCAGTACTGGCACTGCCCAATTCAATGTTAAGGCTCCAAGTCAGCTGCCAGTGGTTGCATAGGAAGCTTTCTATCTGTGACAAATAGTAAGGCTGGTAAAAAGCACAGCACTGGCTAGTATTTCAAGAGATGTCCCTCTAGCAATGAAAACTAGATTCCTATAGGAAGGGATGATCCTTGCTCAGGAAGTCTTCTTACATGTCCCAGCGTGCACACATTACAATGCAATGCTAGTAAAGGAGGAGGACGAAACGCACCAAACTGCACAAACAGACAGAACCTGTCTACAAACCCACACAACACACTGCATCGAGAGAAGCTGCTCCAAGAGGAAAGAGCTGCTGTACTAGAAGCACGAGTGATGTTATCTAATAGTAGTTCTTTTAATTTTCAGTTAGAGATCTAGAAGTTAGAAGTTGCACATACTTGCATGACACAGCCTTATGTGAGAGCATCACGTATCTAAAATGAAGTTAGTCTGCTCCATAGCAATTAACACAGATGCAATAAGTAGCAATGAACACAGATACAGTAACACAGTAAGTAGCAATGGACACAGATACAGTAACACAGTATCTGTTCAATACCATTGCCAAGGCAATAGCTATTTCAACTAATCCCCGTTCTTAAGCACCTCCTGGCTGCTTTGTGTGCACGGTTTAGATCTGTAACATCAAAGACCTTTTTTTTCAGTCCAGGAGCTCTGATCAAGCTTACCACAGGTAGTGCGAGACCTCACCGTAGTAGCAGGCAAGCACGGCAGTTCCGAGCACGCAACAACTTCAGCAGAGCCTGTAAGTTCCCTACAAGCGGCTGGAACGGAGCCGTTCGCTCCAGTACCAGTAATTAAACACTCTTCTAAGGCGGCAGGGTCACGCGTCACGGCAGGTTCTCGCCTGCGGGAAAGATGCGCTCACACCCAGGCTCCAAGCTTGAGGAGAGCAGGGGAAGGGCCACCCGCTCCCCACAGCGAGCGCTCACGCCGCTTCCCGAAGGCCAGAGCCTCCCCCCGGCT